GGGGGGGGGGGGCAGGAACACCACGCCTCCGGTCCCCCCTCCCAAGAGGGATGGGGGCAGCCTGGTAAACAGACAGCCCTTCGTTGGCTCCAACCAGCTCCACGGGCAGACGGCCCGGGAGCACCAGGAGTCTCCAGCAGCTATTGCTTGGCCAATTGGTTTACCGCTGGATGGCCAAGCGTGGGGCCGGCATGCCGGCGGTAGCGTCTGGCCGACACGCGCTTTTCCCTGGTCCTCGCTCTCGGCCCCCCCCCCTCTTGGGCTGTCTAAGCGGGAGGGATGGACGAAACGCGTGGCTCCATCCTCTCTGGGGACGCGCCTCTGCCGCCCTCCGTCCGAGTGGTGTGTCTGTGTGTGTCTGCGTGTGTGTGTGTGTGTGTGTCAAAGCGTTGCATGGCAGATCTGGATCACCCAGGACTCGCACCCCCTGCGCGCGTCCTTCGCTGCGCCTCTTCTCCCTCCCCCCCCCTCTCTCTCTCTTCCCCTTTGTCCCCTTCGCAGGTCATGCCCCCCCGCACCTCTTCTCGCCGGCCGGTCGCCCGCCGTGGCGTCACCAAGACCAAGGACGTCGTGGCCCCCCCCTCGCCGATGGCCACCACCCCGGCGCGGACCAAGCGTTCCGCTCCTGCTGCTTCTCCTCCGGCCTCCCCTGCCGCCGGCAGCACCGACGTCACCATGGCCACCCCGGCGTCGGAGCGCAAGCGCCAGGCCGTTAGCGTCGCCGGCTCGGCCGTGCCGAATGTCTTCCCCGTTCGTCCCCCGACCACGCAGGCTGTCCGCCCGGCCCTGCGCCGGCGCAAGACCAGTGGCGACCTGCTGCCGGTCCCGACCCTGCCGACTCCCGGCTTCCTTGGCCCGAAGGGGGTCCTCGACACCACCCGGCCGGCGGGTGGCATCACCTTCGCCATGGGTGGCAATATGGCCGGCGAGCTGGGCCTCGACCCGGATGTCATCCAGGAGAAGATGCGCCCGGCCATGGTCGGTGGTCAGGTTGCCAAGGTCAAGGCCGTGGCGGTGGCTGTCGGTGGCATGCACACCGTGGCCATTTCCGACGAGGGAAAGGTGCATTTGCGTTGCCGGCGTATGTCTCCCCCCAAGTGCTGTCTCACATGCTGACCTCTTCCCTCCCGTACCCTCCCCCCCCCCCCCCCTGGCTTCCATGGTCAGCTCTACTCTTGGGGTTGCAACGATGAGCACGCTCTTGGCCGTGCCGGCACCGAGTGGGACCCGGAGGTGGTGATTCCGCATTCGCTGGATGGCACGCCGGAGCCGGACCTGAAGTTCGTCCAGGCCGTCTGCACCGACTCCGCCTCCTTTGCCCTCACTTCCGAGGGTGTGGTCTACGGCTGCGGCACCTTCCGTGTGCGTTCCTCTTTCCTTCTCCCCCCCCCCCCCTCTCTCTCTCTCCCCCCCCTTCTTGCTAGACTCACCAACACGCCCGCATGCTCGTGCTTTCTGCATTTGATGCGCCCGATTCCGGCGGACTTCCCCTCTTCCCACCGGCTTAGAACCTCGAGGGTGTCCTCGGCTTCCAGCCGAACGAGAAGTTCCGCAAGGAGCTCAAGCCGGTCGACTCGCTTGTCGGCCTCACTGTACGCATCCATGCTTGCTGGCCATTCTCTGTCCAGCCCGCGTTGGCACCCTTCTTTGGCTCTTTTGCGATATTTTTCCCCCTCCCCGCGCCGCCCCCCTTCCCTTGCTCACTGCTCTCCCATGCGTTTCCCATCCGCACAGGTTGTCAGCCTTGCCTCCGGTCTGAACCACATCGTGGCTCTGACCAATGACCGGCGGGTGTACACCCTCGGCGCCGGCAAGCGTCAGGAGCATATCGCCGTCAGCATCGACCCCTCCACCGAGACCCTGGCTACCATTGCCTCCAATGAGAACAGCGTTCCCAACCCGCTTGGCCGGTTGTCCCTTTCTCGGTACGTGACTCCCCCCCCCCCCCCCCCCCCCCCCCCCCCAGCCCCCAAGGTGACTGGCCTCCCCCCCCCCCCCCCCCCCCCCCGCCCCCCCCTCCGGCGGTCCCTGGGGTCGGCCTCTTTCCATCCCTCTCTTTCTCACCTGCTTTGGCACGTCTCCCAGCTCTCGCCCGGCCGACTCGTCCCTCATCGCCGAGCCGGTGTACCTGAAGAACCGCTCTGGCGCCGTGGCCATTGCCTCTGGTGGCTTCTCCTCGTTCGTGATCTGCGCCGACGGCAATGTCTTCGGCTGGGGGCTGAACCGCAGCGGCCAGCTTGGCCTCGGGGACACGGAGAACCGCGATACTCCGGTGCACATTCCCTCCTTGACCGAGATTGGTGTGCAGCAGATTGCCACCGGGAACTTCCACACCCTGGCCCTCGACAAGGCCGGCAAGGTGTTCTCCTTCGGCCAGGCCACCGGCGGTCTGCTGGGCCTCGGTGATGAGGTGGCCAAGGCTGGCGAGGACATCTCCGAGCCGCGTCCTGTGGACATCGACGACGTGGCTGAGGGGGAGACCATTCTTGTGCGTGTTGCTTATTTGTTTCTCCTCATCCGGCTTTCCCTCCCTGTCCCATGCTGCCACCCGCCTCCCTCCTGCTCTCTCTCTCTCTTTCTCTCTCCCTCTCTCCCTCTCAGGTTGATGGAAAAACAGACTCACATCTATGATATTGCTCCCTCCTCCGCACACACACACACACACACACACACACGCACATGCATCATGCCCCCATCCCACACAGTCCGTCGCCTGCGGCACCACTCACAGCTTGGCCCGGCTGAAGGAGAGCGGCCGCCTGCTGGTGTGGGGTAACAACAACGTCGGTCAGCTTGGCCAGGGTCACACAGATGATGTGAATGAGGAACACCACGCCTCCGGTCCCCCCTCCCAAGA